CTAATATACTTTAAACAAATAATTTCAACTTTGCAATTCAGTTTATATAATTCTTATAAATATTCTACAATGTTACAATATTTAAAATAATCTATTTTAAAACATTTAATATTCCTCGATCATTTCGTCACGGTACGGGAAGTTCCGGCAATTTGCCTTAAGGCACGATGCCATACACCCCACTAGTTATTATGTTGTGTCGAGTCTTATTCTGAATCCGTATAAGTATTAATATGCTATGATCAAAATAAAACCAACGATTATGGGGATTTAGTACCAGTATCCGAGAGAAAATAAGTTAAATGCAGAACATACAATAAAAGAAATTCAACTTATATTGTCCTCATGTTCGATAGCATTAACTTCAATTCGGACAGCTATAATATAAATTTATTTACTGAGCATTTATTATTCTGCGGTATTTAAACGGAACAAGCGTAAAGTCGTATGAATTACCAGTTGGACATTTCTGTTCTTTTTTTTTCTTTTTTGTTGTTTTCGAGTATTATGATAATCTCCTTCTAACTATGCGCGGTTATGCGATGTACAACTATATTCTCTGTGAGAGAGTACAGTTAGCCTGAATAATCGCACATCTAATCGGCGAGTCCACAAGGCCGCTCGTCGCCACCGAAGCGTGGAAATTGCTCGGCGTAAGGCGGTAAAACTACTACTTCCACGGACAATAGAGACCCGTCTGATTGTCTGCAAGGAAATTAAACAGCGATTCTTAAAATTTACGATACAATATCGACTTGTTTCACCGGAAAAATTAGAATGGTCGGGTGTAAAAATTTGCATATAGATTTAATAATCTAATAGTGCATAGCATCGTGTCTTGAAGCAAATTGCTGAACATTACGTACCGCAAATTATGGAATAAACTTTAAATTTTTGTTAAAACATTGAAACAAAAATCTTGAAAATTTTGAAATTTTTGAACAAAATTGTATTAATATTTATACATTTTATAGCATGCAATTATAAGTATTTGCAATTATTTTATCAATGAATAAGTGAAAAAAAAGCATAGAGTTTAAGTAATTTTAAGCAACAAGATGCAAATAAATCTTTACATTATTTCGTATAATAAATATAATTACAAATATAATTACAATAATTTTATTATGATAAAACTGTAGAGTATTTTATATTTAATTTTATACAAGACGATTGTTTCACAGCAAACTAATCCCAGAGTTCATAATTATATTGGTTTCAAAAAATGTATAATATAAAAGAAAGAAATCTTTCATTTTCTATTAATATTTTTAGTTTGATCAACCCAAAAAATTTTTTACAGAACTTCATAATTATTAGTTTACTTTAAATGCTTGATCTTCAAAACGATTTTTTTTTTAAATTTATTAGCACAATACAGAATTCATTTTGATTTAAATATTAATTTCTTAAACGACATCGACATCATATCTAGAAAAAGAGACTGTTTGAACAGTCGGAAGGAGTGGATGATAATTCTTCTGAAGAGGAGGAGGAGGAGGATGACCCTAGGTCTATGCATTAATCGCCCTGCAAAACTTCACTGCCGCCCAAAAGACGCAGGGCGAAGTCCGCCTCTGTTGCCTGCAGGCGCACGAGATCTCTCCGACCATATGGCCTCATCCTAAAGAAGAAAATATGATTAGGAATTCAATATGCAAAATAATTATGTTATAATTGCATTGAATTATTATTGTAATTGACACTATTTGGCACTAGTTATTTATGATACTTATGATCACTCATTGTCAGATATAGATATAAAAATACTTGCGCTAAATCCGATCAAATATTTCAATATAAATTATTAAGATTTCAAAAATATTAATTAAATTGCAAGAGACCTATTGAAAGACAATATTTTCCATAATAAAAACATAGTAATATTATATCAATATCAAATTGAGTTCAAATAAAGGTTACGTTATACTATTTTGACAGCTACAAAGTAAAAACGCACGAATATTATTTTTATTTTGGAATCGTAGCAGTGGAGTATTATAACGAGCAGTAATAATTATGAATCAAAGTTTTACAGTTAAAACATCGAAATACAACCATATTTATTTTCCTTCCAAGTCATAAATTTTGAAAATGCATACGACTTTTGCAAAAATATAGTTTTTGTCTATATTAAATGAAATGCCAAGTTTTCAGTTATATTCATAAATATTATCAAAATATAACTTACCTGATTCCTGATTAAATCGGTCTTAATTTTTTTCAAATCGATCACTACACATTTTCGAGAGAAAATTTTTTGGCGAATATAAAAAACTTGCGTCTTTTGTTTAATTTTTCAAAAACTTTGGCTCTTAGATAAAAGAAGAATTAATTGTTTTTATAACTGAAGTGACGTTCGTAGAATTATATATCAGAGTTGGCCATGCAACAAATATTCGTTATATTGTAAAAAATACAAAACAAATTTTAGTTGTAAAATCTTAAATGTTCAAGACTTATCAAAAATTACGTAAATTATAATTTGATAATATTTATGATAGATAACTTGGCATTTCATCTAATATAGTCAAATGTTTTTTTTTGCTACAGTTGTATTCTATTCTCAAAATTTATCACTCTGAAGAAAAACAAATATGGTTCGAATTTGTCATATTAATGCTTGTTTTTATATTATACTAGTGCTATAATACCACAATAAAAAAATAGTATGAAATAATATAATTCGTACATTCTTACTTTGTAGCTGTAAAATAGTTACCAAATCACCTATATTTTTTTTATTATGAAGTACATTATATCGAATATGAATAAGTCTTTTGCAGTTTAATTAATATATTTGAAATCTTAATAATTATGTTCCCGTAGGACAAGTTATAGTAATCGCAAAAAAATCGAAAATGAAAATTTTTATATATCATTACGTTTCAAAGGTTTCTGAATATTTTGTCATACCTTAGAAAATATGGATGTGTGTGTGTGTGCCGATACAAATTTTCGTGAACGATTTGTCGGAAAAAATCGAATATTTTTTATAAATTTTTTAAATTCTCAAAAAGTAAAAATAACTTGAAAACACATGAGTTGTTTGTAGAATACGCTCGTCGCCCAATTTAAAAAGCACTTACAAGTTTACAATATGTATTTATAATGAATAATCCATTTCAAATTATTCAAAACAATTATTGTTTATTTCCATTTTTCGAATTTTTAATTGCGCCCCATTAATTGTGAAATATCGATAAATTAGAAATGTGATCTGAAAGTTACGCGGGCTCACAGAGGATTAAGTAGTGACGTTTTTTTATAATATTATAAACATTTTATATTTGGATACATACTTTGAAATATAACATATTAAAGCATACAAATGCGTTATGTACAATATTACTAATACTTATAATACAATTTTGAGATTTTTCCGTCTTTCCGGAAAAAATCATTCGCAAATTTTTCATTTAAAAATGTACAATTGTTGCAAAACTATTCAAATCGAAAAGTGAGAAAATGTGACTAATTTTGTTTATTTAAATATCCCTAGTGCGATTTTAATATTTTGTTATACAATTCAAGCTTTCATAAAAGTTTTTTTTCAACTAAATTCGATGTTATTGGTTCAGTAGTATTTTAAGGTATGACAGATGTCGCTAGTGGTCGGCATTGCAACCTCGCGTCGCGCAATGCTGCTTGTGCTTTACAGTATATAAGGAAAATAAACATTTCTTCTGCCGGGTGTTGCCTGGTTCCGTGCTTATTCCAATTTACGTATTTCTCAGCGTTCAATCGTTGAAGTTACACTAGACGTCCCGGCATCAAGCGCAATGCTCTTTTGTCATATCTGTGTGCTCAATATTTTACAAAATTTTATACAGAACTAAATATAAATATGATTCCGTAACCGTAATAATTTACAAATACATGTAGATTGGTTGTGTTATATATTAACTAACCAGTGTACTTGGCGCTCTCATCCAAGCGGTTTGCTTGCTCTTTCAAAGATACGGGGCAAAAAGTGCCAAAAATGGTAGCTCAGTTTTTGAGAGAACGGAGCGTCCGATATCAATGATTTAAAAAACATTTTACTTGTATTGACAAAATTAAAAAAATAGTTAACTATTTGAGAAGACAGGTAAGCTAGCGGTGCAAAAATTAATGAAAAAAATGCCATTTGGGGGCCAAAAATATTCATTAGACATATGCAAATTTTCAAATATTTTATAGAGATTAGAATAAGTATGCATTTTGTTTTCATTTCTGTGACTACTCTACTAGTGTTCACGATACGCTACGCTATATTTCATCTCTAATTGCTAGCTACACAGCACGATAGCTATGAAAAAAAAAGTTCAAAATCTTCAACAAATTTCAAAATAAAAAAACAAATTTTTCAAAATCATTTTTTTCAAAAATTTTAAAATTTTTAAGAACTTTTTTCCGAAGTTTACAATAAATTATAAGGCTTTTTTTGAAAAAAATAATTTTTGGTACGGACAGTTCCAGCAGTTTGTCTTAAGGGGTTAGGGGTACTTGGGATTTTTGAAAAATCGATTTTTATTTTTTTGCATTTTCATTAAGGGTAACATCTTGAAAATATTCTCTGAAAATTTCAAGTTGATCCGATGATTAATTTTTGAGTTATTGGACTCTTACCAGCGCGTTGACGCAAGTGGAGAGCTCGATACTTATACTCAAGATCATTCTCCCTCACCTCCTGATGTTTTAAACGCTTTCAAACCGATTTACGACGATCTCAGCAATGATAATTTACTTTCAAGATGTGTAGTTCAAGATTAAATCCATAATCAGAAAAAATTAAAAGCTTCAACCAACTAGTGTAAAAAAATATACCTAGAAACTGTGAATACTAGTTTTACTATCGTACAAATTGCTGAATGCATATACATAATTATTATAATTGATTATGGATACCCTAGAACCTAATTGTGGGTATAATTCCCATTGGTATGCTGAAAAATTGGATGCTGCACGTGTGAAAGTGGCAAATCAGCGCGCCAACGACGACATCTCGGGAGGCCAGAATGCTTTGTAGGCAACAGCAAATGGAAATTTTGGAAACTTGCACAATGACTGATAAACCATTACATGGCCCAGAAATAGATGACTCGGTTTAAGTAATTCAATAATTCGAATTTCTGTACGTAAATCCAATGTGAAACTTTAAACGCGTTTTTCTCAAAACCATGTTTTTTGAAACGGTGACCACTGTAACTCGAAAACCACTTAGTAAATTTTAATGAAATTCATACAGCTTTTAGAATACATAATAAACTCGTGCCTGAATGAAGGATTTTTATTTTTTCAAAAATTTGAATTTTTTAAGACCAATTAACTGTTGATTTTTTACCCAAAAATCTAGATTTTTTCTTTCTGATGCTGCCATTTTGTTAATTTTTGCAAAAAAAAGAAAACCTTCGATCCAGCCCGGGATTAACTATTCATAAAACTATTTTTTTAATTTGATTGATTTTAGATGAATTTCTAAGGAGTTATGATGGTCACCGCCAGGACCGTTTTTCGAAACAGGGTCAACAAAAACGGCTATAACTTTGGGAATATTGATTTTTTTTTCCTGAAATTTTTGTTACATCAAGTCAAAACATTGTATAATAATGCTGTATTAATATTTTTGTAGAAAAACATCGTTTAATAACAAAAAAAAATACTGAAAACACTCATTTTTTCGTGCCTGCAAGTACCCCTAACCCCTTAAGGTACGATGCCATACACCACTAGTTTATATTAAAATATTAAATCAGATTTTGCGCAAGTATTTCTATATCTATATCTGACAATCAGTGAAGTATCACAAACAATTAGTGCCAAATAGTGTCAATTACAATAATAACTCAATATAATTATAACATTGAATATTTTGCATAATGAATTCCTAATCATATTTTTTTCTTTAGTATGATATCATGTGGTCGGCGGTGTCTCCTGCTCCTGCAGGCAACAGAGGCGAACTTCGCCCTGCGTCTTTTGGGCGGTAGTGAAGATTTGCAGGGCGATTAATTCATAGATCTTGCAATCATCAGCTTCTGGTTTGTCAACCTCTTCCTCCTCCACCTTTCCTTCTGATGATGTATCGTTCTCTCCTTACGACTGTTCAAACAATCTCCTTTTCTATATTCGAGTGTGGCATTCAAGGAATTAGGATTTAAATACAATTGATTTGTGCATTATACTAATAATTTAGAAATTTAGAAAAAATCGTCGTGTAGATCGAACATAATTAAAATTTTGTTTTATGTAGTAACTAAAAATTTTGAAATTTTCTAAAAATTGTATCAAACTAATAATATTAATAAATATAGCAAAAAATAATAGATTTCTTTGTTTTATAAAATATTTACTATTTTTTGAAACCAATACAGATATAAACTCTAGAATTAGTTATCAATAAAACAATTAAGCGATGGGAAATTAAATATGAAGAAATTTAGAATTTTGTTACAATAAAATTATTGAAGTTGTATTAACACTGTTCCAATAATATAATAATGATGTAATGTGATTTTTTTATTTATATTTTCTTTTCATATCTCACTCAGGCTTGGTCTTTCTAGTATACCGTGCACATAAACCAAAACCAAATCACTTATTTAGTGGCAATATCCTTGCAAATATTTGGTCCCTTGTTTTTTTTTTCTTATAAATATACATATTATAGATTATTATTGATTAATCATTTTGAAAAAACTTCATGACTAAAATTATATCTAAATGCTTGTAAGTAATAAAATAAGAATGCAAACTGTAAGAACATAAAATCTACAATTTTATGAAAAGACACTATACCGAATGACAAATTTACAATCAAATTCTTGGTGCATTAGTAAAACAAATATATGATTATTCATATGCGGAATTAATACTGTTTATATGTAGTAGAATATATTAATAAACTAGTGGGGCGCATAGCATCGTGCCTTAAGGCAAATTGCTGGAACTTCCCGTACCGTAATTAAATAATCGAGGAATGAAAATTTACATAATATTGTTTAGGATTATTTATTACATACTGTAAACTTATAGGTGCTTTTTAATTTGATAGATTTTGTTTTAACACTTTCCACTCGCGAATTCCGAGATTTATATGAATTTTGCCGCCGAAGCTGCGGCATCCGAGTCAAAAGGGTTAAATTATAACTTACACGGTTTTAGTCTGTACTTGTTGGCGGTTCAATCATAACTGACCTTCCCGCTCAATAATAATTTAGTAAGTTTACCTGATTCGACTATCATTGTACGAATAAGGGTCGATTTATGAAATTTTTATATTAATGCTGGATTTGGTACTAAACTTTCAAACTTATCTTAATAAAGATCTGAAAACATAAAATAGTGCTTAATAAATAATAGTTCTCAAAAACTTAATTTGATTGACCAAAATTTGAAAAATATTTGATTGACAAAAATACTATAAGAATTAAATATAATGATGTATATATAGTATTAACTTCCTCACATTACCTTAAATCAATTGTAAAAAGTTTAGGAAACTGCAGGTGTAATAGAGATCACGGTATCACTGGCGGCTATATGGTATAGAGACTATCTTACGATACTACTCGGTCATTTACTGTTCATTTTGAAACACATGTAAACTTATTGTATATATTCTATTATTAAGTCCAGCTGATATATTGCGACATCATTACGGTACTTTTGATAAATAGGTCTCAGATAGACAATAATGGAAGCAGATTAGTTTTTCTATAAGCTTTTAAATTTAAAAATAACGCTCACAAAGCAAATTCCGCACGTGTATACGTCTGTTAATACGTGAATCAGCTGTGAATGCTCAAATCATGACTCATGACTTTAGATTTATATTGAAATGAATCACTTTCAAACGAACAAACTTGTTAAATGCTAAATAATGCATTAGATATACGGAAACGATGTAGATATGAACGAGAAACGATTAGGTAATCGTTTATGAATTTATCGAATAGAGAAAAAATTCTTGTTATAGACTCAATCGTATTTACAATGGTTATGTATTTAGGGTATTGTGAAATGGTCATCTGTTCATTTTTAATAAAGAGCCTATCGTGGTGTAATAGTTAAGGACGTGGGTTAGCACAAACTAGTTCTGGGTTCGATATTGACCTCAACCAGCTCCACATCAAGCAGCTTGATACCAAATTTACACTGAACTTATTAGATCTCAAATATCATCTCAAGTGAAAATTGCATTTTGTGAATATTCCTGCCACATAATATGTAGAGCTCACACGTAAAAAAGTGTTATTGACCGCTGGGTTGCCCTCTCGAGAAAAATACTAGGGCGTTATTAAAGTGGACCTTTTTACCCGCGGATTTTTAAGCCCAGCTTTACTTTATATTTGTATTTGTTTTTATATTTATATTCTCTTTCTAATTCAGCAATATCTATATATCATATAATTAAATGTTTGTCTAGCAAAAAAATAGAGAAAATGTTTTCAAAAAATACAAAAGAAGTGAAAAATCTGAATCGAAATTCGATTAAAAACGTCCATAAAAAGACGATAATTGATTAGTTACCGATCAGGTAAAAAATGAATAATAAAATTAGGAGGTACGATAAGAAGGTGAAAATTGAGGGTTGCATCCGTGCTTCATTCAAACTGAGCTTTTTCATAGGCTGAAAAAAATCTTAATCCACAATCATTCAAAAACGTCTTCTGACAGTAATCGGGTTGAAAAATTATGTAATCGCTATAATAATTCTTACGAAATAGGGGTTTGTGGGGAGATGGTGAAAATTTAGGGTTATGTGTTACAGGTTTAGGTGATTGAAAACTATTTTGTAATGTAATTCTCCAGAAAAAATTTAAATTTTTAAAGCAAATTTCCAGCGCATACAACAATTAAATATTCTGCGAAATTCTTTATCTCTATTTGCATAATTAACAATAACTAGTAGTAATATGTGAAATCGATCTGAAGCTGTTGAAATATATTGAATATATTATTATATAGAATATATTATTGATTATACCAATGATTTTGTACACTTACACAGAATGTTGACTCATTGTATCTAAATACTACTGATATTGCTAAAATAGATGTAAATAACGCCTCTTAAGTTTCATCATGTATCAAACTTTCAAAAAATTGCAAAGTGCTATTTTATATGTAAATTATAAACAAAATCAATAAAAATTTAGTTTAAAATTTTTAAAAATAGTGACAATAAGGTTTGAAATTTAACATGGCCTATTATTTCAAACATTGATGAATGTTAGTAATAAAACCACTTTTTGTAGGCCTATAATATTTTAATATATTTGTTAAGACCATACGTTTGTCATTGTCATCATATATAGTTTTATTATAATCGTCATTTTTTTCAACAATTTATTAGGAATAAATGGTCACGCCAAGCTTTACCAAAAATTGTTTAGCACGCTCTTCAACTGATACATCTTTCAAACGATTATTAGATTTCCTCCTTCCAGAACTTTAAGAAAAAATGAGGGTTATTATGCATTTAAGCCAAAAATTTTAACAAACAGTTCTTATTAAATGCCATGATAAACTAGCTCTATCTTTGCAATTTTTTCTATAAAATATGGAAAAGAAATCAAGAAATTCAAACTGTTATTAGATTTCCTCCTTCCAGAAATTAAAAAAAAATTGAGGGTTATTATGCATTTAAGCCAAAAATTTTAACAAACCGTTCTTATTAAATGCAATGATAAACTAGTTCTATCTTTGCAATTTATTTTTATAAAATATGGCAAAGAAATCAAAGATTCAAACTGTTTGCTTCGGACTTATATATTTTCAAGACAGAATGAAATATTAATTACCAGTATCATTAAGCCAAGAGAAATGTTTAATGTAAATAATAGTTAAGTACTACAATAAAACTTGAACTGAAATAATTTAAATCTTCTATTTAAATTATTTTTGATTTACAGTTGAAAATACTCAAATAACATTTATTTGGAACTATCAACTTCAGAGATTTATATGATGTTTTCACTTTATCGATTAGAATAGCAATTACTCTGGAATTTTAGCGCTCCCAATTATCACTCTAAATCAGTTATCCCTAACAAAGTGAAAGTAATTAATAGGATTTGCATAAGTAATTTGCCTTTAAGGAAAAAATGAAAAAATCTAAAAGTGGCCCATAAAGAAAATGCATGAGATTTTTAAAAGCATTTTAGTCGAATTTTGGTGTTTAGCATCAAAAGGAATTTTATACGACTTGAAAGCTCCGCCATAGAGAGTACTAATATAATATGGTTTCAACTACTTCTAACTAATTTTACATGTGGAATGGGCTTGTTTTGCAAAAAATATGAAACAGATAGTTAGAGTTTGTCAAGCATATTAATTAATAAACAGCAATCAAAATTACAAATAATTATATAAGCTATTCTGCTAAGATTTAACAACAAAAATAAATAAACATAAAGTTATTATAAACATGGAAAATATCTGCGATATGATATTCACTCAGACACCGACATAATAAAATAAATAAAATAAACAAATTAATTATGATTCATCAATCATTGTGGCAATTAAAATATTTAATAAATTATTTTAATTATAATATAATATGACATATATATTATATAAAAAACATGCGATATAAAATGCTTACGTTCATATCTATCTTAAATATTTATCTTACCATAAGATATTTCAATATGAAAAACAGTATGAAACTTCTGCAAATGTAAATAATTATCAGTTCAAATAAAATAATGCATTCGATTTCTTGCTAACGCCTTACAGATAAAATACAAATAAAAAAATCAAAAAATCAATCAAAACATGTTAATTAAATATGTCCATTAAAATATTTATTTGCAGAACCGAATATTTCTTCCTGAGTATATAAAAGTGTCTAGTACTTTCCTGTTTGCAAAGAAAACTCATATAAAGTTTTTACTTCACACTTTTGTCAGATTTCTTTTTGTGTTATCTATATTCAATATTATCGTCACAATATATATAAAGAATCTAATACTAAAA